TTTCCTTTGAGAATTCCCGATGACATGGTTCCCGGCGTTTAATGACATCTCTGGGCGAAACGCGCAGACACGATCGGAGAAATCCGCGGGATAAAAGGAAGGACGCGCGTTCGATCGGACTCGGCCGACGGCAAACACGAGACAGTCTCAAAGGGCTTTATGAAACCGGCGTTTCTTTCGCTCCGAGAAATCTATTTTCCTTCCGCGCGCCGGCCTCAAGAATTCATTGCACGCTATAATTCAACGGGCAACCTGTTTCTATTCCATTAGGGGGCCAACACGTCAGAAACTGCCATAATGTATTAATAATGGCGCCAGGGGAGCAAGTTACAACGATATACGACAATAATCGCTTAAGTTCCGTTTCAACGCTAACAGACTAATTACGAACTTCACAGTAATTGCCTAGCGCTTCGCTAACGTTTGCTTCGATAAACGTATCGTCTCTTAACAATTTAAGGGATGATCACGGGGATGAAGGTTGTTCAACCCTTCGTCTTCGATGCGTTTCAGGGATAAGTTCGCGGGAATTATCTTGTCGTTGTTGACATTCTAGAAGGAAATCGTGTGTTTATTGTAAATCTGTTGTACAGCGATGGATTAATAAAATTCGTAATCATTGTTCATCAATTGTTTAATGAATTCTTGAAGTAAAATTTTATAGTGAGAGTTACGGTAATGAATTAACAGGTGATCAATCGATGCGACTTCGGTAGATGAGATATTGAAGCACGAGGAAATATTCGCTCGTCTTTATTCGCACGCCTTTTCACTTCTACAATGACGTTCTTTCTTCCGGGAATTAAACAGGAAAATAGCAGAACGATATTAAATCTACATACACAACGGTGGCTCGGGCTCGTTGCGGTAAACCGGACCTCTCGAAAATTATTGCGAAAGTGAGAACTCGCACGCAACACTGGTAAACCTCTGAACCATGTGGTTAGCATTTCTTATAAATAATTCCATGCATTTTTTATAAATAGTTCCATGTATTTTTCTCAGTGATTTGCATAGTCTAAAAATATTTCTCATGCCGTTCCCATGCGTCCTTTATTTCAATGAAGGTCACAGGTGTCCTCGAAAAATAAAATTTTTCTTTATTGAATATATTATCTCATTGCTTACAGTAGAATAAAAATTTATTTGACTTCGACTGCAATAGCAGTACATGATCAACAATGTTCACGTGTACATCGTTAGAAAAAGGTGCTGAATTACTAAGGTGATTATTTTTCTTTCTAATAAACTTTCTAATAAAACTGCTTTACCATTAATAATTAATGAAAAAAACTACTTTGTCAATAATTTAATGAAAAAACGAAACGTGAGCACATTCAACGTCCACGTTTCCCCTAAAGTATAAAAATCGCAGTAAGTTACAATAAATTCGAATTCTGAAGAATTAACCCTTCGCACTGCAAAGGTGTTTCTCAGTCACCAGTCGATTGGTGCATCAAAATTGTAAAATTTCGTATTTAACGTTAAATCTCGAGTAATCTGTCGATACGTGAAATGTGGAAATAAAATATCACTGTCCCCTTATTTTGTGAATAGATTAGTCAAGTTTAAGAAAATGTCATCTATGTCTCATAAAAATGAATATTTCTAGTGACAAATTTTTCGAGTGCAAAGGGTTAAGGAATACTTGTAGCAATGAATCCTGTTTAAAATCTTCACCACGAGTCCGAAACTAAATGACCCGCGGATCTCGCGGTAGCGTCCTCATTTTTCGTCTTATCTATCCGCGCGTTTCTCCCCTTCCGCGGAAAAAGCAGTAAAAGAACGCGCCGCGCCGGGCGTCGTGCATATTCCCGTCACATTCGGAACGCGGGCCAGTATCTCAGCGGGCGTATGTTGAATGGCAGAAGCAGCGACATTGTATCGTGCGCACGTCGTATATTTCGGCGACGTTACGACGTCGTAAAGTATCGATGGATCGGTCGCGTACCGGCCACACGTCGGTGCCCGGCGCGGTACGCGGAATAACCGTGCGGACGTGTAAGTAGGTACGATCGATAGCCGCCGATAGTTGAACCCAGGGTAACGCAACTTAATACTATTCTCTAATGCGCCGCGCAAGTAATCATCATGCATATTGCGGGGCGTGATCGATATCGGGCTGGATTGAACGAACCTCCAATTCCACCGAATATCCTCCTACAACGTTTTCCCGTTGTCCTGCTACTCGCGTTTACGTGGCCGCGGAAAGAAGACAATGCCCAGCAGGAAGCACGATTGTCCGTGTACCCATGTATAGTTTTCAATCAACTGCCATCAATTCCTGACGGTACCTGTACAAATCGTCACGCGCCGATTGCCCTTATACTAATTTACTGCGAACCGTACTGTTCGTTATTTAGATTCATTCGAATTCTATGGAAGAAGATTACAATTAATCGAATTCGTTGCTTTAATTAAAATCGTCGGCCGTGATTTAATTGAAAGTTTTCAACGTTGAACGCATATTTGGAAATCAGGAGGATATATGTAGGATTGGGATGCCGTGGTAGGCTTTAATATTAACAAGAATTTATTTAATTAAATAAAACAAATGAAATAAATGAAACAAATAAAACAAATGGAACAAATGAAACAAATGAAACAGCTACTGTACATTCGCCGAAGACTCCTTTAAACAACTATGTTGTAATATTCCCTCTTATATTTTCTTTGCTTATCTTGTCATATTACCCTGCCGCACAACTTCCACGTACTTTTAACATTCATACCGAGTCACACTTTCTTTCTTCCACATGCATCCCTTCTCACTTGCTCCTTGTCCCTTGCATCCATAGCTAGCATTCTCGGTCACGTACACGCTTTCCAAATCACGTAACTCTGACGGTCCAGTCGCTCAGTTCTAAACATTCTTTCTTTGCAGATCTTCATCCACTCAATATGACACCAGCCAACGGCCAACTAATCGCCCATTCATACTTCAAAAACTAAACAATAACGCTACGCTTCGAACGTTCGACAGACTCCTGAATTTCGGATAATCGTTACCGGCGTTTGCATTTTCCATCCGCACATATATTTCGAAAAATACACGATATTAACCCTTTGCACTCGAGAGGTGACTCTCACTCACTTGATTTCATACAGTAAAACTATAAAATCTGATATTTAATATTATATTTCCTATAATGCATCATTTTGAGAAATATTCAAACAAAACAGCTTTGTTCCTCAATGTACGAGTGATTTCTGGTCGACTTAGTTTCTTAGAATATCGATTCTATCTCATCAGAAAATGTTAAAATATTCCTAGATCATTCCAACTACCTCGTTCAAACGGTTCCAAACACTGCAACACAAATTCTCAATTTAATTTCCTATAAACCCGTCGACAAAGATATTCTCGTTAATAACTCATCCTCTTATGAGACCTTAACTTAGACCTAACCCAGACCCTTTTGGATCCGTTGCCAAAAATGCTTACCCGAATTTACGTTGAAACCGGTAGCGCGGCTGGACGCAGCGTGCCACGGTCTGCGTAATGCACGCCGAAATATACTGTGCAGAGCGAGAGGGAGAGAGAAAGGAACAGTATCGCGTCTCCGGGGAGCGTCTCAAAGGGACACTCACCGCTCTCTCCCGCAAGCGGCTACGGTTGCAGAATTTTCGCGGGTTCGCGGTTTGAATAGCGAGCTGGCCCGATTGAAAGGGGAGTAGCTGCGGTTTCCGGCCGGGGCACCGACAAAGAAATCGGAGCCCATCGGGGACCGGTTGCTCAAACAGAAAATCGAGAGGAGCCGCGTACGTGGTAGGCGGCGGTATCGTCCTCGGCCGAATTTTGTACGCCGGGCACGGTCGTTCCGTATAAATCACGGGTTCGCTCGTCCTGCCACGGTCCACGGATGGCTGCGATTCCGTGGATAAAACGTCGGATGAAGACGCGGGGATCCGAAGAATGGCGACTGCTGGAAAAAGGAGAAGCACGACGAACGGAATGCAAAAGAGAGAAGATAAAGCTGCTGGCTCTTGATTCGGACGCCGCCGTCCGCCCTTTGATTCGCGGAGACGCCTCTCGAAACGCCGTTTTCCCCGGCGAGGACGCTCCTGCTACATTTCCCAGCGGCGCGGATGCAAATAGGGGAAAGCGAAAAGTACTGGAATCTAGAGATACAATGGACTCGGAATACGTCCGTGGGATTGTTCTGTTTGACTCGGGAATATCAATTTTCTGGCTTGTTAACCCTTATTTTCACGGCGCCGCTTCGGCGATGAAGCACCTTTTCGAAGGTAGAAAACTATTTCAGTGAATTCTTTTGAATATTATTGATTGCGATAACTTAATGTAAGAGTATTTTAAATGTTATTGTACGAGAATGTTTCCATGTTGGGAACAGAAGGTAAGATGGTAGTAAGATTGTTCATGCTAGTTCAATGAGTGTGACATTGAAATTTTTGGAATCAACTGAACGATTATAGTGATAGACACTGAACGTTAAGTCTCTTTTGAGAAATGAACGATTACAAGGTAATCAATTACCGTGGTTCGGAGTGAAATGGGTGACCATGTAACAGCGAGTGGGTTAACCCACATTTCGAACGGGAGGAGGGAGGGTGAGACCACTATCAAAGGTGGTCGTCTTTCAATGAGTTCATTCGGCTGGAATACTTCCAGAGATCCCCTTGAGTTTACCGACTGAAATTCTTCTTTCCGGAACGTATTATTTGAATGTACCATACGGAACGTGCCCGCTAATGATAATCAAATGGATCAACCATTGATTCCAGAGTGTAACCTAAACGTTCCGCGGACATTAAGGGTCAGACCGGACAGAAGGCAAATCTGTTCCGCAGAATAGTCCGATAATTGCGATCAATTCTCCCCTATTTTCGGCGATTCGCGCGAAACACCGGCCAAACGGAGGGTTCCATTAATTAACGCCGAAACAACAGCCGGCCGACGCGACGCGTTGAAATTTCATTCGGCAACGGTGACTCTATCGGCGAATTTAATCTTCACAGTTTGCCTGTTCGTTTTCCAGGTGAACGGGTCGTGGAGTCTGCCCGACTTCGCCTGCGACTTCTACATCGCGATGGACGTCACCTGCAGCACCAGTTCCATTTTCAACCTCGTAGCGATCTCCATAGACAGGTGAGCGAACCGTGGCGTCCTCTTTCTTCCAAAACTCGCCGATCTCCTCTCTTCGATCGCTGTCCTCTTTCGCCGAATCCAGGCGGAACTGTACAGAAACTGATACTCGTGACCAATTTGCAATCTCGCCGAAAATGGACACGCTCGTGCTGAACTCGGCAATCCGTTCCTAAAAAGAGAAACTCGAAACGGCGATCGTTTAGATGAAGGGAAAAAGGAGGAAAAGAACACGAAGAGTAGAGAAAATTGGGGTAGCTGATTTAACCGGCTTACGTGACACGGGTAACAAGACCACGGACCGGATCGCGCTTGTGTCTGCGTCAACTGAGCGGTGGCTCAAAATGCGAGCGCAGTCTCCGTAAATCAGATTTCTACTGGAGACGCCTCGATTGAAATAACTACAATTTTTAATGGAAACAGATCCACGATTTTCCGCTGCTCGTGAAACATCGCGCACGGATTAGCGGCCATTTTTCCAAACCGTTTCCGACTTTGCCGCGAATTTACCTAACTCGATTCAATTTCCGGCGCGATCGATACGAATTTCTGTTTATTTATCTTCATTAGTGTGCGTTAAATGCAAAACCACAAGTTCTGAATCGATCGGTATACTAAGCTGATCAGTCGCCTCGATTTTTGGTTCGATGACCTAATATTCCTAAGATGCACTTTTGAGACTACTCTTATACTTCAATTTTCATAATCTAATAGGAAATATTCATAACTGTATAAATTACGAGTATAAAAAGTAAAAACATCGACGAAGTTATATAGGTAAAGAACTAATTGTTTTATCACTCGAACTTGAGAACAATCAGAAACTGCAGCTAAACAACTTTCAAACTGTGGAGAACTCATGTATTTCACGGCAAACATACGTGTTTTTTCATTTTAATCTCCACTTGTGACCCGATTCTTAGTTGTATAGCTCTGGTCGTGATGCATCAACACGAAAAAATCTGTGATCATCCGATACGAGAACCCGTCCAACCGGAAATAGCCCGGACAAGTGACTAATACCGTGCTCCTGCGGATCCGTATGTTAAAATATGCGCGGTTCGATACGGAAAAATGGGCGCAGTCTATTAAGGACATTCCTTCCGCGGTCTTAAATCCACGGAATCCGAATCGCATAATACGTCTTCGAGGAAATCCCCACGAACAAGCATTAATTTAGCGGTTTAATTAATCAGGCCGGTCCTCTTTCTTCGATCTCGCCACCCGCTGGGTATAATCCCGTCTTCCCGCCGCCGTTTTCCACCGGTCTTTTACTTTTTCCGTGGCGCCGCCATGAATATTCGTTTCGGTCGCGAAAACGGGGCAACGTATTAGCGGAAGTGGAGGACAGTAATTTCGCCTCCTCCACAAGAAACAGATATTTTATATTTCTACGTCGAGAAAACCGTGCTCCGGTCGCCCCGTGACATTTATTAACGTAGTTTTGTTACTTATTTCCTGTTGTGCCATTTATACTAGCAAACTAAGCTAATATTATGGACCTCAGCGTCGCATTATTATTATTAGTATCACTTTTGATACATTTTAGAACACTTCGATGAGCCGTGGCAGATTTCTCTTGCACGCAATTTAAACTTTGCGTGGATCGTTTAGAAATGATTATATTTACTGGCGAAAGCTATATTTAAGTACCTTTCTATTTATTTATTTCTTTAAATGATTCTATATACTTGTAACATTTATATTTAACGGAACACGTGCAACGCATATTTCATTATAGTTCATACATCATGCGAAGGTTAATAACTAAATGTCCATATCTGACACGAAAATTTCACTCGAAGTTTTAATTTTCTTCTTTGAATCTCTAGACGAACGACAGTCGTAAATTGTAAGATAATTTGAAATTAGGATTTATACACCGATGAAAAACACTAGGCCGCCCCCGTTATCGAGACAAACGACAGCGGATGAGTAAAGGCGTGACGGTCAAATGATGTACGATACTATACGAAACGAATTTGAATTGCAGATACATAGCGGTGACCCAGCCGATAAAGTACGCCAAGCACAAGAACAATAGAAGAGTGTGGTTGACGATACTGTTGGTCTGGGCGATATCGGCCGCGATCGGCAGCCCGATTGTTCTCGGCTTGAATAACACACCTGACCGGCTGCCGAACCAATGCCTCTTCAACAATGCAGACTTTATCATCTACTCGAGCCTATCCAGCTTCTATATACCCTGCATCATCATGGTGTTTCTCTACTATAACATATTCAAGGTAAGCATTGTTAATGGAATAATTAAACCGTCCGGCGCGGCCGTCCTGTAATCACGTTTTATGGATCTACTTATAATCCTGTCCTATCCTGCGGTGTTGGATATCGCGACAACGTAGAACGCGCGGTTTTAGGGAGCGAGGCGAGGATGGTAAATGGAGAGGGCGGAGACGGGTGGCGCGAGTAGAGAGTAGACGGTACAGGGAAAGTAATTTAATGAAGATTCGAGGGAATAGAAAATTTATAAAGGGCCGGGTTATGCTTGAGTAAAATGAAATATGTAGAGAGGAATGAATATGTAAGTTCAGATGATAAGGTAATGAGATAGGTCCGGATAAAGTACGGAAGTAAGTCCAGATTGAAGTGCGCAAAGTGTAAGCAGAGAAAGATATGTTTATACGGAAGAATATGCAATATCAGTCGAGAGTGAATAGTGTATGAGTAGAGTAGCGCGAGTAGAGGCAGAAAGGTATACGAATAAAGAACGAATGGTTGGAAAATAAAATGACTCAGAAGCAGAAAAGTATTTATACGTGAAATCATTAATATAGTAAATAGTGGAGCCAGAAAATTGAGTGGAGTAAATACAATTAATGTTAGATGAGTAGAATATAAAAGATATACGAGTCAAGAAAAGATAACTACTGACTCCTCCCTAAGAGATCAAATGTGTTTTATCAAATAATGGTACTTTATAGATTACTAGCTAAATTGTAGGCAGTAAATGGGTCATATTAGCTAATGGCCAGGCAAGGTGAAACCAGTGACGGAACAGTAAAAAGTGGAAGGCCAGACGCCAACCAATAAAACGAAGAAATCATGTCCAATGCCGTGTATAAGCGTAGCACAGTCCAGGACATCGCGTCCGTAAAGGGTACATCGTGCGCAAAACAACAAATACGCGAAAAAGCAGATTAGTGTTCGCGATATTACGAGTATGTGGCTTCGGATGACTCGTATGAACTTCCGGCAGAAAACTGGAACGCTCTGGCATGGACCCTGTAATATTCTCGCCTGCCAAATTATGCGGGTGTAATTTTAACGCCAGATGCAACCAAGTGTTCACCGAATCCGGTACATTCTCTGATTGCGTTGCGACTCATCGCGAATACGTTCCACGTCAGTTGACGGTCGCGGGCCATTTTCGTTTTTTTCCTGGTATCAGCCCAACTGCACGAAAAAGTGCTGAACATCCGAAAGTGTTCGTAAGTCTGAAAATAACGCTCTAACCAAAGGAAAAACGGACCTCGCCAGAAAACATTGCGAAACCTCGAGAATTTTATATCTTCGAATTCGTATCGGAAGGAAAACGTTCTGAGCGGTTTATCTTTTATCTTTGGTATTTGAGGAAGGTATCGGCCGAAGCTTCGTGCGACGCGAAACCGTATTGTTGCCGTTTCGAAGCTATGAAATCCTTGTCTTCGCGTTGCTTTTCCACGGAGCGTTATCGAATTACGAGGAATTCTCATGCGAACGATAGCAGCGGCACGCCCACATCGCAGAAATGATTCGACTGTTACCGGATCGCCGGTATGACTTGACCGTTTTCTTCTCGCGCGGCATGGCCCTCGTCGTAAAAGCATCATGGCGCGGTTTAACGGCGGGTAAAGAAACGGTATCCCGGGAAACATCAATGTAAAAGTATGAAATATCATGCCTTTATACGCGGCCGTACCGCGGCCGCGGAAAGGAGCATTTCTCGAAATACACCGGCCACTTGCCGCATGAATTCTCGAATGCATCTTCGATGCGGCAGAATACTCGCGTCCCATAACCGTTGTGATAAATTCCTCGATTCCGATATGCGCATACGACAACGAGATTAAGTGGATCCCGCGCGAGCTACCGGCAGCCTGCTTCGAATCCTATCAACTAGCCCTGAGTGCAACATTCGCGAGCTTACCGAAATCTGTCGTTCGGTATCGACGAATTTAAACAATCTAAAAAAAAGACAGTATGAAGTTGTTAAATCGATTGAATCCAGATACGTTCATTTAAAGTATACACGATACACGCGTTACATTCTCGATATTATAGTTGTACCGTTGTCAGAGGAATGTCAAATCTGCAACAAGGTCGTTATGTATTTCGATTTAGAGCGAGTATCGTTACATGTTTAACAGGTCGACGAATCTCGGTTGATTGAGATATCGTTTCAAAATCCGACAGGCAGGTTTTCATTCAGTCCGGGTGAATTATTGTATAATTCCATGCCGCTTATCTCAGTATCCATATTTCGCGGGAGCATGTGGCGTATTAAATTCGATTCGAACACTGCGGCGTTTCGATGATATCGCGCGTTAAATTGATCGATATTCGTCGGCGCGGATTGAATCTGTTCTCGGCGGAGATTCCTTTCTTGGGCTCGATTTTGAAAACGCGATTTCAATTTCACGTTTCCAGGCGCTGCGGAACAGGGCGAAGAAAGCCAGGGCCAACCGGAAGCCGAACATGGGCGACATTAAACCCGGCAGTATAATCGAGAACATCGCGCATACCCGCAGGTGAGCCAACACTTCCGCCGCGAACGGGAACGGTTCCCGTTCCTCACGCATTCACGGAGAATTTTGTAGGAACTCATTTAAAAGCAGCGCCGGATAAGGAGAGCACGACCGGAAACTCTTCCGTCGGATTTACTGGAACTTCCGCGGAAATAGTTCGCGCGTATCGCGTACCGAAAACGACGCTAATACGTCCCGTACATAAATAACACACGGAAGAGCAATTATCGATTCGATCCATTGTTCTAAATTGCGCGAAATTACGAATTCATTGGCGAAAGAGAATCAAAGCCGACACTTCGTTGATTGCGAAAGGGATTTTGATCGAACCGCTTGCACCGTTTTATTAGGTTGTTGCATACGAGCTCCCGCCTATTATTTATTGCATCAAATCTCCATAAATGAATGTTTTCAATTACCGTTTTGTAATTGCGTTTTCGGCGGAAATGTGTAACGGGGCCGACTGCGGCACGCTGTTTATTCGCGCGTTGAGTTTGAAAGTTCATTGGAATTTATTAAAGCACGCCGCGGCGAATGAAATTCGCCCCGGTGTTAGAATAATTTAAATTTATTTCAAGGGTCATGTGCAGCAATCGATCACACGCTGTCGACAGAAGGTTTGGCACACAGGAGACCGTTCGGCAACCATGCGGTCCATGAAATTAATTCCAACCTTCCTTTTATCTTTCAAATTCCTTTCTTCACCCTCCCTTTTCATCCTAATAAAGAATCGACGAAGAAACAACTGCCGCAATTTCCTCCATCAATTCAATCACACTCATAAAAATAAGAAACGATGAGAATCCAGAATTCATTCAAGCGATTCTCACCGGAAAACAACTACTCCGCAAACATTCTGTCGGCAGCGCGAGAAGAAAAATGCACGCCACATTCGCGCATGAATGTCGCATGAGTGTCCTAAGCATGAGTTACACCGGTCGTTCGAACAAATAATAATCGCGGTAACACCGGGTCCGACTGCCCATCGAAGCTCGCGATATGTCAACGTAGAGGTGGCGGTGGCGGCACGCTGCAATTCTCTATTTCCACGGTGTCGCCGCGGCCGAGATCAAAGTGTTCCTTAAGCGCGATAAATTTATTCGCGGATCCGTCCGCAGCAGCCGAAGAGGTACGGGCTTCATTTCGAATGTGTCGCGTGCTCGAGGAGAGCGCCATTTTTTTCAATTTTCGCCCGTATAACTCTTGCATTCCAACTAGGCGATTTCTCACGGAGATTGGCGCGTCGGCGTGAGCGCGGTGCGCGTTAAGCGAGAAAGGGAGAGAGACGCGGGGGAAAAGACGGAGAAAAGAGAGAGGACACGTCGCCGGAAGGGAGACAGATGCGGAGAAAAGAAAGTCTCCGTGGAACGGAGGCTAGAACGGTGGAAGAAAGGCTAAGACCGGGTTAAGTCCCGAGCATATACGGATAATACGCTTTCCTCGAGCGCGGGCGTACGCGTCGAGCTTCATTTCCGCTGCCCCGGGGTCGGCGCACTCGCCTTGAATGAAAGCCAACTACTTCGTCTTCGATTTAATTGCCGGCTTTTGTGCACGCCTGTTTCCCGGAGTGTCGTACGTTTGTTCATCGGCGAGCACCACCGGCTCGGGATTCCACGGCTTCCTCGCTAGCAGGCACGAAGGCACGTAGCCTTGTTTGCCCGCGAAGATGATTTAATACCCACTTTCGAGGCCAGCATTCCTCCCCCTTCGGAAATAAAAAGTGCTTCCGCCGAAGTACCTGTAACGGCGAACGATACAGCCCGAAGAGATTCGTGTTTCGAGATTGAAGCGGCGGGTATATACGTACCGGTGCGCCCAGCAATGGCGCGCGACAAAATGGACAATGGATCGCGTCGAGTGGAATCGGTTTGAGTAGCTTAACGTCGCCATTGGCTGAGGATCGATGGAAGTTGCTGGGGGAATGATAACGCGATTATGAATGGAAATCAGGGTTTTGGTAGTTTCGAAGGGTACCGTGTAAATTGAGTATTTTCGAGTTGTGGGTGAAGATGGTAGATTGATGGAAGTTTTTGAAATGAAGAATGGCACGTTGAGAAATGTACGTTGGAAGTTTGATTCGTTTAGATACAGTCCATTGTTGAGGAATATTCGATCGGTTGTATGATTATTAGTAAATTCGAGTGTTTTAATGAAGACGAATTGATTCAGAGTTTATGGTTCTAATGTTTCTATTCGTGAGATGGGTTATAATTATCGATGATTTACGCGATCTAGGAACAACTTACATAGCGATCAATTGCAAGCAACTCTTTTTGTTACTGCAGAAAGTTAGAATGACCAATTTTATAACTGGTTCGGATTAAGAAGTTCCTGATCCGCATAAGCTGTCTTCTATAACCGAACGATATCGACTGGTCTCAGTGATATTAACGGTACAGTGGTTACCTAATTATTATCTATAGAGCCTCTCCAGGCTGCTGCGGCACATGCAAGGACGCGTGTATAAACGTAACCGATAAATTAGACTTAACTGTTCGTAGCAACGGTCACATTTTGGCTGTACGACCTCGTCTTTTCCCCTGGGTGCGATGTATTCAACATAATCTCGGGCCCGCGTCATCCTCCACAATTCTCCCTCCGCCTCCTCTCGGACGCTGTTAACATCCATTATCTCGATCGATTAAAAAATGATGTGTTACTCGGCGCCAACGAAATATTGGAAACGAACTCGGTGGAAATGACCGAAATAATTCTCCTTTTATAGCTGCTCCGAGTAAAATGTAGTAGTGTAAAACCTTGAACAACGTTATATATATCTTTAGTATCTCTTTTCCTGGTAAGAATGTTTGTTGTGCACTTCATTTTATTTTCACCACTTGACTTTTATACACGTTTACACGTACACATGTACAGCACGATGATTCAACCCTAAACTCCAAATGTTATTTGTAACATTCTTTCTACTCACTCAACACCTGCTAAAATCAATATTTAAATAATAAGACCTTCGCAATCCTCGGTTACATAAAACTGTGTATTTTTCAAATAACCAACGGCACGTTCTTTGAAGAAAGCAGTATTCCCCGCGATTACGCATAACGCGCCGAGTGAAATGGAATTCTCATGGAACACAGGAATACATTATCAACCGCACACTTGCAGCATCCAGTGGTTATCGAGATGAGTTGCCTCAATTCGTATACTAATGGCGTATTCCGTGGTTCAGCAAGCTATCCGAATTTCGTTATACGGATTGAAGCCTCGCCGTACCACGAAATGGAACTCCGCGCACCGAGGCGTTCGTCTACCCAACCTGTAACGTCACTGGATACCTGTAATCCGATTACTGGATCCCACGTACGGCTGCAAATGTCCATATTATCCGGATAATACGACAATCGAAATTCCCGCATAATATACCCACGCATCTTGCGCCGATTTTATGAGCCTCTAATCTAACGTCTATGTTAACGCAACCAGGCCTCGTTGCCATCGCTGGGATTACCCTGGGGACGAGGCCTGCTTTATATCGCGCCGTCTCGATAATCCTAATGTTGCAGCCATTTAGACTTAACCTGAGTTTGGTAAACCTTATCAGTGAATCGCATCGAAAATGAGTTGATAGCCGATTATGAAGATATCATTGCAAAATCCGAATTGAATAAATTATATTGATCTTTCACATGGTAAAAGAATTAATAGTAAATTATTGAAATATAACTGTACAAACAATTGCACATCATTATTCAGTCTTCCTGATTTTTAAGTTTCAAATGACTCACTGATGGTCGAGCAAATTCAAACCCTCTTGAAATTATATCATGATATCAAGCAAAATAATAGAACACGGCAAACGTTCGGACTCTAAGCAAACACTCTTCAGAACGGGTACCAAAACTCCCAGTTCATACCACTCACAAAGTAATGCAATTACTCGCAGTTCGAAAATTGTTGTCTTAACAAGCATAGGTATTTCCATTTCCCTCAATTCGCAAAGTGATTCCGAACTTCCGGCCAGTAGTACACCTTCGAAACGACAATCATCTCTTGTAGAACAAGTATTTGCTGGAAACTTTCCTCCGGCCAATAAAAGCTGCCGGAAAGTTTCGAGCCACTGAAAAATCCACCGCTTCGCAACCGATCCAAGTGATACCGCCGCGAACAAACATTTTCACTGCCTCATCCGACAGAAATACACTCGCAATACGAACTCAACGAAGTTACAGCTAGGATTTTCTTTGTGCTCGAAATATCGCGTCATACGTGTCGCTATGAGGTCGTAGCACACTAAACAGCGGCGCACCCGAACGGCACCGGGGTCAGCCTTTCGACTTTCTTATGCGCAGTTCAAATGGGAACACGACCATCTATCATTGAAACCGTGCTAGTGCTATGCTGATGCGGATAGGTAGACGCATTTCCATTTTATCTATAAGAAAGTCGAAAAGATGACTTAACGATGTTCGGCTCTGATACTATTAATCCCTTACACTGCCATCAATTCAACGTTGTTCATTTCGGATCTAATTGATCAGCTATTTTTTCTCGTCTCACTTCCGATTCGTCCATGGAGTTACACATAAATAATCAAAACTATGAACAACAAAACACCGGGAGACCCATCTTGCTCCTATGCCTCACAAGAAGAGTCTAAGCATAATTGTAAAAGGGGTCTTCCGCTGCGTTTTCCTCGGAACTTTATTGAGAATAGCAAATTAGTATAGAATAAGACGAGAAGAGATGAATAAAGCTGAGTGAAGAAATAGTAAACACCACGAATCCCCTGACATTTATGTCTATTCTGAAATTTTCATCGCGAGTGAGATTGGTTAAAGTAGAAGGGGTTAAGTGTGCGACGACCTATAACCGCTTTGCGCATGATATGTACGTCTGCGATTCTTCCTCGCTGCTGGATGAACGTCACTGCTGAGAAATGCTAAAAGCATGCTAAGTGTAGAAGCTTTTTTTTAGAGGCTTTTGACTAAGATCACGTAGTGGGTATTCTGTGGCAAGGTTCGCGGAGACCGCGCTGGGGGCCGCTGCCCTGGTGGCGCCAGGGATGGAGGAGCCAACGAACACGGCGTCGGGCAGCAACGAGGACGAGGACGAGACGCCGCTCGATCCCGTCGTCGTCATCTCGAACGACAAGAGCACCGAGTTCTTTTTGGCCACGGTCGTCGAGGAAGCAGCGTAAGAGTCCAATAAACTTTTCGATTCCCCCCCCGCGCGCCGAAACAAACGTTCGCGCGACCCCGCGGCTTTTCAATTTCGCTCATCCCCGTCCGAGTGTTTCCGTTTCTCAACAGGTAGCCGCGGAGTGCTACCTTCTCCGTTGAAATGTTTCCTGTTGCTGGGAATACCGTGCACGCTAGAAATTGTTTGATTCGATTCGAAAATTGTAGCGAGCTATTGTTCGACGCGTACCGATTGCTTCGCGGAAATTGAACCTATTTTGCTAGCGAATGTTATCACGATATATTATTACTGTCAGACAGGTGATCGGTACCTTGTTTTTTTCTATTTTTTTTCTTTTATGTATCTCGCGTTGAAAATATAGCGATACGAGTCTTTTGATATGTAGAATGCCAAATGAGAGGTTACTCGTTTTTAACTGTTTTGCTTTGTGTTTTTGATACGTTTGATTAAGAAAATGAGCAGTATCTATTTTTTACTTACTATACGTGAAACTATAACGCAGTAAGACGGTGGTGATTAGTTGGTGAATACAAGATTGTAATCCCGATAGTGATACCGACATGATCTGTACATTTCAACGCGTTCATAAAGAAAGTGAGTTTATACACCCCTAGTCGATTCTGGCTCGAGCTGCAGCGATACGTTTTCCACGGGCAGATATTCAGAGTATAAATCTTAGTCCTTTGTTTTTTACGGTCCTACGGTTTGAAACCAAGTGCAAGCGCATCTTTTATTCCGTTCCGTGGATTCATTGGCGCAAAGAATTATTCGAGGGTGTGCTCGATAAAAATAGAGGTGGACCACCGATAAACCAGTCCACTGTGAAATCGATTCGTTTGTTTGTCGACTGTCCACTGGTCCAGCAACTCCGAGTGTTCGCTGTATTGATTAAACGTGAAAGATACGGCCCAGAAGATCAGTCCTTCCTGTCGCGCAGCTCGAACATAAGTATGGGGACGTGAAACGTGAACAACGGGAATTGGCACATTAAAACATCGATCTTGTATTCATTAAATGTCGTTCTTTCAGTCACGAAAATAGATGGATAAATTACGATACTGATTTCATAGAGCGAACGATTGGAAAATATCAAAAATTTCATAAAACCGAGTGCTACGATTATTACATTAATTATTGAATCATAATACAAAACTTATTAACACTAGAACTACCGTACCAATCAAAATGACTAGTTTCGATTCGTTTGTTTCGCAATTGTTTACATCTTCAAAGCATTGAATATTCGAAATGATCCTGAAAATAGTTTCACTTGAATACCATACAGAACGTCTAAAGAAACTGAAAATAATCTATTATTACAATTTTTAGTATTACATATTAATCGTATTCAATGCTCGGTAGTTCGAGTGTTAGTCTATTAGGCATCAATCATTTATTACACATCAATACAAAACATATTCCATCTATCTTTCATTAAACCATCGAACTTCGAGAAACAACTATACCTAGAATCACCTTAAACATTAAACACCGACGTCCACAGAAACAAGCTACCAAATTCCAGTAGAAAATCGGCGAACGCGAACGTTGGTCTCGGTGTCGAGGGCGGAACGCTTCAGCTAGCCGGTCGGTAGCAAAGGGTCCAAGACGAAGACGCTAGAACTGCTCGGTGGAATGCTACTGATACTCGAATTGCAGATGTCGTTTCAGTGCAGTGGCCCAGGCCCAACTCGGCGGGACGCAGAACGCGAGGAAGGACTCCGGCTACGACGGGGCGGCGAGCAGCATGGTGATCAACGAGCCGTTGGAGACGAACTCGAGTCCGAGCCCGAATCCCCGTGTCACCTCGGCCCCTTCGTCCTCGACCTCGTCGTCGCCGCCGCCGAAAGGGCCGACCGCGAGCTCCAGCTCGCAATCGAAAAAGAACGGCAGCACCGAGGCCAACAAGCAGGAATTAAAGAAGCTCAAGAGGACCGGCTCGCTGCTGCCCCTTCAGCTTGGACGGACGCCAAGCGTCCTGTCCGGCTCGTCCACCTGTAAAAAGGACAAGAAGAACGAGGCCGCTGGATCGAGATTCACGATATACAAGGCCAACAAGGCGAGTAAGAAGAAGAGGGAGAAAAGCTCCGCGAAGAAAGAACGCAAGGCGACTAAAACGCTCGCTATCGTTTTGGGTATGTAAAATTGGTGTACTCCGGATTGGATCTGATTCTCATCAAGTAGAACGGCGAATTTGGAGAGTGGTCGGGGACAGTAGAGATTTTATCTTAATTTGTTTTTGTGGTCACTTGTTTATTATTGCCAGGAGGGAAATCAAAGGGTAGTTTAGTTAAATAGTATCGTAGACTGGTAGACTAAGGGACGTCGGTAGAAATAGAATGAAAAAGGGTCCCTAGAATATTTTTATTAGTTGGTTTCTTAAAAGGCAGAGGAGAATATAGATTTAGTAGACCTTTTTAGGAAGCTTATTCCAAAGGAAACGATACAAGTCTGTTGAGAAATACGCATTCTGAATTGGATTAGGTTATACGTCTATCTGCTGTTAGCTGTTTTTACCTGCTCGATCAACTTTTTGTGTAGTGATTAATTAACTCTTCTCAACATCTAGATTACACATGACCCTCAAACCACAACGGTTGAAAGAGCGACAACGATGTATCATCAATTACAATTCCAGGCGTGTTCCTAATCTGTTGGCTGCCGTTCTTCACCTGCAACATCATGGACGCGATTTGCACGAAGCTCGGCGCGACATGTCAGCCTGGTTTCACGGCATTCATCGTGACCTCCTGGCTGGGATACATGAACAGCTTCGTAAATCCCGTAATCTACACTGTGTTCAATCCCGAATTTCGCAAAGCCTTCCACAAGCTCCTCAGCTTTTAAACGAGCGACGCCGTCTACGGTCACGTTTGTCTTGGGGTAAGGAGGAACAACGAGGCGTTGGACAATCTAGCAGCTCAACAATTGTTCCGACGGAAGGTATCGAATACTTTCCACGAATTTCCCTCGACGAAACAGAGAACAATTCATTTTTTCCTCGTACCGATTAGACTAGCTCTTCGATTGAATTTCATTTTCCCGAAGTCTTCCAGAAATATTGTAAATATACACGAATTTACTTACCAAGTTTCATGAAAAATTCTTACACTCTTCACGTTATTACTCAATAACACGACTCTCTTTCACACAATCCCATTGCCACGATACGGAGAACAAATCGTAATACATAGCACCATAGAAACAACGGAACAATCTACCATATACAATCCCCTCCTCCGAACAAGAGACAAAAAAACTAAACGTCGCACCTTGTTTGTCATAATGTTCAGCAGAAATCCAGACCAGCAGTAACACTCCCTGTCACGCGTCACAGCTCGAGTCCCCGACGATGTCAAAACCGGAGGTAGCGTGCATCGATGTTAGTCCTGAAGTTACCAGATGAATGTTTTAGACTAATTAGCCCGATAAAGGAGCGTCACGGTGTTAGTCACGCGTCAACAGCGAATCGAAACGTCAAGTGCAGAGTAATGTTCGCCAGCCAGTACCGTAAACAGCAGCCCAACAAACGAGCGAAACAAGGAACGCGAGAGCAACAGAAGAAAAAGAAGAAGAAGAGGAGGAAGACGAAGAAGAAGGAAAGTGAAAAATAGGATCGAAGGCGCGAGAACGTCGAGCCGAGAGGCTGACGGTACGCGTGCACGCGCTCTGTAGATATACTTCGTTGGTTATTTAATATGCCGTGGCAGTATTACCGTAGCTCGTAAGTAACAGCAATATTTTTTGGCTCGGAGCAACCGGGCCGAGAGACTCCGCTGTATTTATACCGCGTCCGCTCGGGACGAAGTCTCTTTCGCGACGCGTACGATTCCACGACCCTGTTATCCATCCCCACGGAACGAAGATCGACGGACGCGGTCCCCGGTATCACGATCTCTTCATGAATTTTGTATAATCGTAAAGGGATCCGGGACTCCGGACGCTCGATCCGCCGGAACTCGCGCGGAGAGGCAACGAAACAAAAAAAAGAAGGTTTCACTTGTCAAACATGTCCGATGCACACCGCTACCGTTTCAACTTCCGTACGGAACCGTTCGGATCCACGCCGTCGTTCAACTTTTACGCCGCTCATCGATCACCGTACTTCCGAACTTTTCATTTTCCGCCCGAACTTGCGCCCGATATTTCATTCGATTCCTCCGAAATTTTCTTTCTCGCCCCGCTTTTTCCCCTCCGGTTGTGTATCGAAACACCGGCACACATGCGCGGCCGCCGTTCTATTTTCGGAATTTTTATTGTCCACTTGGTCCCGCGCGTTTCAACGGGAATTTTCGAATTCGCCTTTCGTTTTTGTATCCCCGGATTTGCGTATGCAAAAAGATTCCGCGGCGTATCGAAAAATTTCCTCCGCCGCTCGCGTTCAATTAAACGGAACTCTTCCGTGCGGCCCGAATGTCGTTTCTCACCGACTGTTCATCGTTTGGACCAGAGGTTCCCAAAGCGTGAGACGTTGATCGATTTTCTATTATATTTGAAGGCAATTTTAAAATTGACAATTCTGTATTCGAAAAGATTCAAATATGTAATTCATACGTTTACTGGAAATCTTTTATTGAGAATACGTTGAATCATAAGTAACGCACGTATTTGTAAGAAATTATTGTTTCCTGAAATGGTTTTCGGCCCATAAAAGTTTGAGAACCACTGGTGGGCCGCCATTTCCGATCGAAATTGATCCGGGGCGACGATCTCGCGCTAACTGCTACGAGCGTTCCCGTCCAACGGCAAGAGAAACGGAAATCGATGCAGGAAAGGCGTCCGCTCGTTTTCGCCGGGCACGTCAGCTCAAGGAATTTTCTCGCGAAGATAAACATTGTACGTTCACGGGCCGTTTCGACAAAGTGGAGACGCAACGAGAACACCCGTGTGCATCGTACCGGATACCGCATCCCGCGGTTCCCGTTTAGACAGCGGATTTTATGCGTTCCTGACAAATACGAGTGCATAGAATATAAAGCGGAGAAACGTTCGCGAAAATTCCGGAATGCTGGTACCACTTTATCGTGAACTTACTACGATTCTTTGAAGAAGGAATTAAACTCTAACCCTTGCTCGTTTACCGAGTAAACTTCTGATCACTTCACTGACTTTGGTAACAAGTTATTCATTCATTCTTTTGATTCCCAAATTTGTCAAATGTATTCTTGCTATATACTTCAGTATTATTGTTTAATTCGATATTTGATAGTCGATAAATTAAAAGTAATTTGGCAACGTTATTGTTCTGATTTCGCGTAAAAATCCGCTGCCTATTCACGTTCCATCTCCGCGCGCGAGCCTCAAGCCTCCCGCGACCGAATTTTCAAACATATCAGTACGAGTACGAGGCACGATACCTGTCCGTGCATTGGCATCCGAGACGCGTTTACACAGGCACGCGTGGATTAGTGGGGCCACGCGAAACACACTGTAAACTTCACCGAAAATAGAAACGTCGAATGTAGTAATGTGCTCCGGAATCCAGTTATCGTCGGTCTCTATTTGATGACGTAATCCTCGCGTAAAGCACCTATATCTAGCTTAGACCTGACCTAATCTTCCGTAATCTCCGATTAATCTTCTGTATTATTCTAGCATAGGCCTAACCTGTCATTGATCTATGTTTAAAGTAGGACTAACGATGTCCCTTGTATTTTTATTCGATCCTAACACTCGCAGTTACGCTCGACATCCATCCGATCTAGATCTGACCCATTTTTCTGTGCCATCGTTCGAACCAAGTTGATTGAATGACACCAGAAATAAAGTCTACCAAAAGTAATTCAATCATTTGTAATTTAAAGTGAACGAAGAATAATTCAGTTGACGGGAACGTTATTTCTATCTATGCTTCTAAACGAGTCCACTAGCAGTCCCAAACAAGCGAGCAAATAGAGAGGCACATGACTGTATTCTAGTTACCGATCGAAAGGAACGTTTCGCGTGACCCGTGCTATCGCAATAACGTCTACAATCAAAGCTTTTTACTCTGTATGGACTCTACGAACACGTTGTATCACGTAGCCGTAAGCTTCCAAGTGTATATTTGTAAATAACTCGTAGGGACTAACGAATTACGAGCTCGAGCCGCGCTAGCAACGCGGCGCGCGTCGAGTCGCGCTAAATGAATCCTAGGTACACCGCAATTACTAAAACACTAGACGTAACGATAGTGAGAGTGTATCGCTAAACGCTAGGCAGAGCATTAGGGAAAACTTCTTCTCGATGAATTGTGATAATGATAGTTTTTATTGATGCTGCGTGCCACGTCCGTAGTTCGATTCGACATAACGCGAGCCTCTCTAAACCTCCCCTCGCAATCCCTCCGAAAGAACCGGAAGCGGGCGCACCTTTGTTTAACGTCTTCGCTGCCGTGTCGCCTATAATTCCATTGCTCAACATTCGTAAAGTAAAAATTCATACAATATCACGTTCGATCAAAGGAACACTCCGATAATTCAGTCAACTCATTCTTCTCCCGTTTCGTTAAAGACACACACACAATTCCAATGTCTCAGAACGCGGGGGCGTGAAAGTTCAGCGGCGAGAGCGTTACACAAACTTCCAGCGAACGAAGAACTCGTTCGCGTTTTCGCCGCTCGAAACTCGTACAATTTCATCCCCCGCGGCCGGCGTCGCGGGCGGCGGTGTTTCCGCGTCCGGTTCTTTTTTCATCAGAAATTCCCCGTTGCACCAGGGACGCGACGCCAATCGCGCGGCGGAACTAATTTGCATGCGGCGGGGTCGCGGGGATCTCCTTTGATTTGCATGAACCAGTTAATTCGCGTTCGTAAACCCTTTTCCGAAATCGACCTCCGCGGAAAAGCCGTATCGACGCGCGGCGAATCTGCGAAGTTTGGCTCCGGGTAACGCCGCGAGGAACTTTTCCCGGCCGGAGACATTTTAGGGGCTCCCCCCGATCCGCGACAGATCCCGCCGCGTGCCATTTTACTCCACGGCGAGATAAAGGAACCTTACGGCGGATTATTAATTGGCGAAGTTCCCTTGCTCGGCCGCCGCCGCCGCCGCCGCCGCCCCCGTGCGCGATCGTTAACGGGGTATAAGAAAGTTCCCAGCGAACAGTCCCAGAAACACAGAAACGATCCGTCGATTCTTTTTACCTCGCGCCCCGAACCCTCGCGTCGAGACGCTCGGGCTAATGAGTCCATTAGCTACCCTTCATCGATTGTTTTTACCTTCGCGCTGACATTTGAGGAATCAGCGATCGCGCTGACGGGGGAAGAGATGAATGATTGAAGCGCGCGTTTGTTTTGTTGATTGCCCGACTTTTAGTTTATTGGAGCTCGATCGTTTTATATAGGTGCATTTGTAACAGTGGAAATATCGAAGCGCAAATATTTAGAAGCTGCAGCGTGTGTTCTGTATAATATGAGAGTGGTAATTCAATATTGAAAAGCGTTTGAGGAGCGAAGATTCGGAGAGAGGATATTATTGGGTACTTTTGTTCGGTGACGTAGTGTTTTAAATATTCTTTTCTAATAATGATAAACAATAAAACATTGTAAACCCTTTTTCACCTTATTCCAGCAATTTTTAATTATTATATACTGTTTCGCGAGTTTTATACACTGGTAGATTAAAAATATGTTTACGTTAAACCAATTTATATGAAATACATAGCCCGTGCTTCTTCATGATTTACATAAAACAGCGTAATAACGTGTTGCTCCGCGTTTTTGCGGAGGGTTCGCGGTTCGCGGTAGATCGCTAATTAATCGTGAGCTTTCGCGAGCTAATGGATAAAGAACTACCGAAGCCTAGCATTCTGTTCCAGCGTCAACGCGTCTCGCCGAACGCGTTAGAATGTTTCTCGCGGTTCCGCGTAAGATCGGTGTATTTTTCTAACCTGCCACGCAACCCTTCTCTGTATATACCATGTGTATGTATCATGTTTGTGCACGCGCGCGACGCAGAGCGCATTGCATCCGTATTGCACGGGACGAGGACGTGGATTGGGCGTTGTACATGTCGTGTAAATATAAATATATACTAACTTAATCGACGAGAGAGCGTATACGAATGCCTGCGTGTGGCCCGGGGAACCGTCCGCGGATTCGAAACTGAGCCCGAATCCCCGATGATCCCCGGGATATCGTTCGAGGCCGGTTTCTACCTCCTCGTGGCGCGAGAATTTAGAGAGAGCGAGAGAGAGAGTGAGAGAAAGTGAGAGCGAGCGAGAGAGAGAGAGAGAGAGAGAGAGAG